ATACCATTTACTTTGTATAATGGGTTGCTATGGTGCCCCTTGACCTTATGATTTGGCATACATGAATGAAACAGGTTTTTGATAGTTTTCTGGCTACATGGTCAGGAGCTCCATTTTTTTTTTTAGTTATAGATGGACACAATATCTATTTTCTTTTTATGTGGCTGAGGATTGAACCCAGTATCTCATGCATGCTAGGCAAGCACTCTACCACTGAGCCACAACCCCAACCCTCAGGAGCTCCATTTCTATCAGGATTTATTATCATGCTAGGAGCTTTCTTTCTTTTTTAATATTTATTTTTTAGTTGTAGTTGGACACAATACTTTTATTTTATTTATTTATTTTTATGTGGTATTGAGGATCGAACCCAGGGCTTCGCATGTGCTAGGCGAGCGCTCTACCACTGAGCCACAATCCCAGCCTAGGAGCTATTTTTTCTTAAAGCATATATTTCTTCCAGGTGTGGTGGTGCACACCTGTAATCCCAGCATACCTGTAATCCTCCCTCCCAGGGTGGCTGAGGCAGGAGGATTTTGAGTTCAAAGCCAGTCTCAGCCACATAGTGAGGCCCTAAACAACTCAATGAGACCCTGTCTCTAAATAAAATATAAATATGGGCTGAGAATATGGCTCCAGTGTTTAAGCACCCCTGGGTTCAATCCATGGTATGAAACTCTGTTCCCCAATCCAAACATACATTTCCTCACCACATGTGGCAATTGGGAATACTGTTTGATTCTATTTATGGTAGACTACTGTCATCTTTCAGCATCCAGCCAGTTGGGGTAGAGGCAAGATTAGTGAATGAAATGAAAATAAGATGAGAACTAACACTTTTTTTTAAAAACATTTTTAGTTGTAAATGGACATAATAACTTAATTTTATTTATTTATATATTTTTTGTGGTGCTGAGGATCAAAACCAGTGCCTTGCATGTGCGAGGCAAGTGCTCTACCACTAAGTCATAACCCCAGCCCCAAGAACTCTCTTGAATAATTTAGGTCTTTAGGGATGGAAATAATATCTGCTATTTCCTCAAGATTGAGATATTATTTTCATTAACTATCTTGACTGCTGTGGGGGAAGTGCAGCAGAAATGATCTTAGAACTTCTACCCGGCTTTCCTTTCTTTGTTACGTCTTACAGGCCAATGAACCAATGTGAAGGTTTTCAACTTCAAAGTGTCTATTCTAGTTATCTGGAGACTAGTGAAATGGTCACTACATGGACCCCACAGTGGAGCCAATATGAGTCAAAGATGGTTCAGGACTTTATTTATTACCTGGCCCAACATATGGTCCCACTCTAATAGGACCAGGATGACTCTCTGGATCTTTAGTAAACAGGCTGCGAAATGACATTAGGGTGCATAGAGTTTACTGAGGAGTATGCTCAGGTGCAACAACACCTGTCAGGGGAGGAAAAGAAGTTTGAGCAGGATAATTTAAGCTCAAGTAAAGTATCAAGAAAGGTCACAGTTATCCTCATGAGAGCTCTGAACTGGGATAGCTCACTATTGTTGTCCTAAAGTGGGGAACATCATAAAGTGACCCACATATTCCCCACATCATAAAGTCATTCCTGCCAGGTACGGTGGTTCATGCTTGTAATCCCATCTATTCAGGAGGCTGAGGAAGAAGGATTTTAAGTTGGAGCCTGGTTGGGCAACTTAATGAGGCCTTGTCTCAAAATAAAATTTTAAAAGGGCTGGGGGGGCTGGAGTGGTGGCTTAGTGGTAGAGTAGTGCTCGCCTAGCATGCACGAGGCACTGGGTTTGATCCTCAGCATCACATAAATGTAAAATAAAGATACTGTATCCACCTAATACTAAAAAATAAATATTAACAACAACAACAACAAAAAAAGGGCTGGGGATGTAGCTCAGTGGTAGAGCACCCCTCGGTTCAATTCCTAGTACTAAAAAAATATTATGCATATGATTCTATATCTTGTCTTTTTTTTTTTTTTTAAAGAGAGAGTGAGAGAGGAGAGAGAGAGAGAATTTTTAATATTTATTTTCTAGTTCTCGGCGGACACAACATCTTTGTTGGTATGTGGTGCTGGGGATCGAACCCGGGCCGCACGCATGCCAGGCGAGCGCGCTACCGCTTGAGCCACATCCCCAGCCCTATATCTTGTCTTTTTTTACTTTAGTATTTTTTAATTCTCTTTCCATGAATGAGTAACAACGTATACACAAGGACACTCATTTCAGTTTTAAATACCAGTACTGAAATAACTATTGATTGGTTAAAATTATTGTATATAAGTAATAAATGATATGTAGATATTTAAACTTATTTATTTTTTTGGCTGTATGTTGGATTGTGAGGGTGTCAGTTTGCCCAATCTTGGCAAAAGAGTAATTGAAAGATAAAGGAGGCAAGCAGATGGAGATAAAAAATATCACATTCTTAACTATAAAAAATGAAGATTAAAACAGTTTTGGTGCAAAGGCCAAATAGGCTTACTTGTACTCTTGTCCTCAGTTTCTCCAAGTCTAGAATGGAGGCTATTGCACCTGAGTGACAGTTTGGTTTTCTAAAGGAGACAAACTTAACTAATGCTGGTCATTCTTGCTCAGCAGATGGATGCATCAGGTTGAGGCTAGACTTTCTTAGCTTCTTTACTTCTCCATCATGCTTCCTTCATACCCTTACAGGTTTCTTCTGAGAGCTAATAAGTTGCTTGCACAAGAAGTTGAGTCTCAGTATCTCCTTCAACAGACCAAATATCTATGAAATTTTTACAGAGACATTTTGTAAAAATGAAAACAAATTATTTTTATTTTGAAAATGAAAATCTGCACAGGTGGGGCTGGGGATGTGGCTCAAGCGGTAGCGCGCTCGCCTGGCATGTGTGCGGCCCGGGTTCGATTCTCAGCACCACATACAAACAAAGATGTTGTGTCCGCCAATAACTAAAAAATAAATATTAAAATTCTCTCTTTCTCTCTCTCATTCTCTCTTTAAAAAAAAAAAAAAAGAAAATCTGCACAGGTTCCAAGATAAACTAAGCCTAAAGGATATTTGTAGCCTAAAAATTCTGTTTTCTGTGTGTAGTACACTAAGCTAAAGTTTGTCAAAGGGGCTCATTCATTTTACCATGGAGGACTCAGATATCTCTCTTTCTCCCCTCTTCCTTCCTTTCCTTAGACTCCAGAATAGCTGGGATTATAGGCACAGACCTTCTTCTTCTTCTTTTTACAACACTGGGGGTTGAAGCCAGGGTCACTTTACCAGTGATCTATATCCCCAGCCCTTTAAAGTTTTTTCCTAGTCAGGGTCTCACTCTGCATTACTTAGGTAGGGCCTCACTAAGTTGCTGAGGCTAGCTTTGAACTTGCAATCCTCCTGCCTCAGTCTCTCTAACTGCTGGGATTATAGGTGTGTGCCACCACACTTGGCTAAAATGATTTCTACATTAAAGCTGGAGTGGTCCTGGGCATTCTTGTAGGAGGTAGAGGGGAATCAAAGCAATAAAAACAATGGAGCATATGGAGGTGAGAAAGGATGGAGTCCTATATATGCTATGTAGTATACTACCATAAGGAGAGGCGGAGATTAGGATTGGCAGTTTTATGGATAAACTTGCCGGCTGAAGGAAGGTTGCAACTAGTGGTCATTAATTTTTACATGATGTATAAAGCAATGTTATTAGTTAAATGAAGAGGCAAAAGTGGAAGTAAAGGTCTTCAAGAGAGTGGCAAATGCTGAAGAAATTAAGTAGGGATGTCAAAGCATGACTAAATTGAATATAGAAAATGCTTCTGGGGCAGCCTTTGGGAGGTGATGTCTTAGTTGGGTGGGTTTTTTGTTTTTAATTTTTTTTTTTTAGTTACTGATGGATTTTTGTTTATTTATGTGCGGTGCTGAGAAATGAACCCAGTTCCTCACATGTTATTAGGCAAGCAAGTATTCTACCACTGAGCCACAACACAGCTCACTGCCAGGAGGGGTTTTAAGAAAATAGAGCTGGCATTTTCTGAAGGGTGGGCTTGAGGAGAGTGAGAGAAGAAACAAGATATTAAAGGAATTCCAGAAGGAGGGCAGATATGAGAGAGATGTAAATATTCATTAACAAATTGCACTAATAGGCAAATATACTCTCTGGGAGATTATTTTACAGTACTAATAAACTATTTAGATCTGTAGATTAAAAAGTAGGAACTGCAATATCACAATCATGAACCTTGAAATTAAAATCAGAAGTGCTGAAGCAGGAGGGTCACAAGTTTGAGACCAGACTCCAGCAACTCGGTGAGACCTTCTAATAAAAACCGAAATAATATTAACTCAAACTCAAACCCAAACCAAACCACCACAACAAAATACCTAGGGACGTAGATGTAGAAACACAATATTAAGTATAAGTATAGTGGAGACTGGCCTAGTAGAGTCTCAGAACAAGTTGGGTGGTGCTCCCATGTCAGTGCAACAGGACTGGATGGCAAGCCCATTCAAGAGCTGGGGATTAAGCAGGGTCTCTATGAGGTGGTACACACTATGAGTATTATCGATGTGCTATGAATTACTAAGATAAAGTTATGAACCCTGTTTTCAAAAAATCCACGTGTTACAAATATTGACTATAATTACAGGGGGGGTCCATAAACTGCTGAAACCTATTCATGCTAGGCAGGTACTCTATCACTGGTTTACATTCTGCCCTCAGTCCCTCATTTTTTTACTTTCCAAAGTATAAAGACACAGATAATGAAAGATGCCATATTCTCGGTCTTTCAGGAAACTGTAGTGGACATTATAAACGATGGTTTTTGACCACAGACATAGCTGAATCATTCAGTAAATATTTACCAAACGCCTAATACATGTAGGCAACGTGCCAGGGACTGAACTTTGTGAGAGACCAAGAGTTCTTCCATTTCTCTTTACAAGACCATTCACTTCTAAAAACGTGACTGAAATTACTAATTTGGCCTTAAAAAGTCATCCAAGTTTGAGAGGCATTCTTGAAAGACAGAAAGGGCTCTTACCGGGCAACAACTTGATTTTGGTTTCTCTACATCCGACTCTAGTTTGGTCTAGTCAACGTCACGGCCTTATCTATTCAATAGGATTAACAAGTACACAAGAACTTGCAAATCTTCAAAAACACAACCTTTGCAAAAACTAATATAAACAAACGAGGAAACAAATGTTAGGCTTTTGAGAAGTAATAATTGGTAAGTTCACCCCTTGAGGGAAGACGCTGTCGCTTTTAAGTATCCAGAGCCACCGCGGCAACCCGCACGCGGTTGCACAGCGCTAAACCTGCCTCCTCTGAGAGATCAAGTTCCGCTTCCGCAGGCAGGTTTCCACTGAGCGTGTGAGCGCTAGGCGGGAGATTTTTAACTCCGAGCCCGTCCTCATTGCGCACGCGCCTGAGGAAAGGCGGAGACCGGAAGGGAGGGGGCGTGGCGAGGAGCCGCGGACGGCCGGCTTCCTGGCTCTGCGGCTGGTCTGAGGGGCCGGCTGCGTACAGTAGTGACGGCCGCGCGGGACCGGTCACATGACCATAGCGGCTGCCTGTACAGTAAGAACCCAATATGGCAGCAGCGGTAGCAGTGGCAACGGCAGGAGGATCGGCCGCCCCATAAACCCCCCCGCGCACCTCCCCCGCCGCTTCCTCTGCTAGGTTGCTCCTCCGGCCTGACTTCCCCTTTCTCCCACCTTTCCTGGCACCGCGGGAAAAGCAGCACAGGGCAGAGAAGGCAGGGAGGGCGGCCGGAGCCGGGACACGGGAACCTCCTAGTCCAGTTCAAGACCCGACATGAGGGAAAAGGGCCGTAGGAAGAAGGGCAGGACCTGGGCGGAGGCCGCCAAGACGGTAAGGGGGAGGGAGCGAAGGGGAAGGCCGGGAGGATTTCGTTCCCTTGCTGCCCGCCAGTCTCAGGGGAAGGGAGGTCATTGGCCCCGCGACCCCGCTGAAGGCACAAAACCGCGCCGGGCAGGCGGCAGTTAGGGTCGGGGTTGCGGTCCCTGTGGGAATGGAGGCGCTAGCAAAAGGGGCTCGCCGTCAGGCTGCGGCTTCTCCCAGCATCTGTGACGAGTCCTCTTGGTGTTTGGAGGCTGTCTCGGGTCATGTCGCTGTCGCCCCCACTCTTTGGTAGCCTCCGCCCCGGCAAGGGGAAGTCTGTTGTGCTTGCACAGTAACCGGTTCTTCTCCCTTGTGCGCCTGGAGAGCCCCCATTGGATGCAGACAGGAGAAGGCTTGTGCGTGCATCTAGCTCCGGAAAGAAGAAGGGAGCGCCGGAGCTTGTAGAATTTACCCTCTACAGCCGACATTCTGCCTGACCCCCTGCTTATCTGGCTCTCTGAGCCGACGTGAGGTCACGAGGCTTTTGTTTTTGTTTTCTGTTGGAGCTGAAAGTGCTGGAGGTGTTTAGAAACGAAGTAACAGGTGGGACTTGTAGAATATATTTTTTTTTTTCTGTTTCCGTAGAGACCTACTCTGAACAAGGCAGCAATGCATGGTGGGACGTGTAGTTTACCCGTCCTTCACTTTTCTGTAGCCAAAGTGATGGTGGCCCGCAAATTGTGATTCATGGGCAAAACATTTTTTTCCCCCAATTTTGTCATAAGGAAATGTAGAGGTAGGTTTTTAAAAAAGGATATTTAGTCAGAACTTTTTCTGTGTTTTACGAAGAAAAAAAATAAAAAGCGTGTATGTATGTAGAAATGAAAAAGGAGAAAGTGAAGTTTATTTCTTCGTTGAGGGTGCAATAGAAAAATAGCAGGGCATTAAACAATAGCATTTCAATGTTGGAAAGTGAGAGGTGTTCATCTCTTTAATACATGGACAGCACACTAAATGTCAGATGGTTATTTATTAAATAAGTTTTTTTCCCCCCTGAATATAAAAGTAATAAATAGCTGATTGTGGTGGTGCATGACTGTAATCCAAGGAGTTTGGGAGGCTGAGGAAGGAGGATGGCAAGATGGAGGACAGCCTCAGCAACTTAGACCCTGTCTCAAAATAAAAAGGGCTGGGGATATGGCTCAGTGATTAAGTGCCCTTGGGTTCAATCCCCTGTACCAAAAAAAAAAAAGTTAAATATTTATTGTGGTGAAATTTAGAAAATTATAGAAAAGCACAAAGAAGAAAAAAAATCACGTATTTTAAGATACAACCCATCAGTTGTATCTTAACATTTTGGGTATATTGCTATCGTCATTTATTTCCCCCAGTCTGGGTCCTAGTGTTTATTCAATCTGGTGTATTTATTTTGAGAACCTTATGCATTTGTTTTGCAAATTTCGTGTGTTAGGGGGTTGATGAGCTTTCAATTTATGTTTGTTTTAGCTAGAAATATGAAAAAAGTGCAGAAATAACTAGTACTTTTTATTTATTGTTTTCACATATCTTTTTGTATGATTGTGCTGGTAGTTTCCCTATAAAAGATAAAACTCTAAAAATAATTTTTGATAGTTGTATTTCTATTTAAAAAAAAATACCTTTATTTATTTTTATGTGGTGCTGAGGATCAAACCCAGGGCCTTGCAGATGCTAGGGGAGCGCTCTACCGATGAGCCACAACCCCAGCCCCGCTATTTTGCCTTCTACTTCATGGTTATCTCACAGTGTCTGTTAATAAAAGAAATATGGGCTGGGTTGGCAGTGTATGACTCCGGAGGCTGAGATAGGACGACCACAAGTTCGAGGCCAGCTTGGGTAACTGAGCAAGACCCTGTTTCAGAAAGAAGGTAAATTTTAATTGTAACTAGGCAGATCCCTAATTATGTTGATTGATTTTAAGTCTCTAGAAAAAAAAAGTATGGGGAGAGGGTGTACCAAGGAATGGACCCAGATGCACTTTACACTTAGGTACTTCTCCAGACTGCCCTCCCACAACCTTTTTTGTGTGTGTGTGTGTGTGTGTGAGACAAGGTCTCCCTACATTTTGGAGGCTGGCCTTGAACTTGTGATCCTCCTGCCTAAACCTCCAGAGTTGCTGGGATTACAGATGTTTGCCCAACCTGTATTTGTATTAAGTTTGTAGTTATTATCAGAATCTCTAAGAGGTAGGGTACAGTTTGAAAAAGTGTATTCACTAAACTTACTATTTGTATGTATGTATGTATGTATTTATTTATTTTTGTTCTGGGGATTGAACCCAGGACCATTCACATGTTGAGCAGATGCTCTACCACTGAGCTTCATTTTCAGATTGTTTTGTTTTGTTTTGGTTCAGGGTCTTTCCTGGGTTGCATAGGCTGGCCTTGAATTTATAATCCTGCTTTAGCCTCCTGAGTTGCTAGGTTTGCAGGAGTGTGCCATCATGCCTGGTCTTTTTCTTTTCTTTTTTTTCCAGTAGTGAGAATTGAACCCAAGTGAGAATTGAACCGAGCTACATTCCGTATTCTTTCTTTTTTTTTTTTTAGTATTCCATTTTTTTTGGATATGTCATCATTTAAAAAGTTGATCCTTAATTATGAGAAATAGGTCATTTATAGTTTGTTTCTTCTGGTATCATTCTTGTATATGTATGTATACATGTATATGTGTATTTGTGTGAATGGAATAGTTAGGATAAAGATTACTTTAGCTGGCAGGGTGTCACATGTTTGTAATCCTAGCTATTTGAGAGATTGAAGCAGGGAGATCGCAAATTTTAAGGCCAGTCTGGGCAATTAGCAAGACCTTATCTCACAATAAAATTTAAAAAGAGTGGGGATGTAGGTCAGTGGTAGAGTGCTTGCCTAGGAGGCCCTGGGTTTGATTCCCAGTGGAGGGCCAGTGATGTACACTTGAACTTGAAATATGTCTTTACATATCTTTAAAACTTTGTTCCTTGGGACTGGGGAGGTGGCTCAAGCGGTAACACGCTTGCCTGGCATGCGTGGGGCACTGGGTTCTATCTTCAGCACCTCATAAAAATAAATTAAAGATGTTTGTGCCCACCAAAAACTAAAAAAAAACAAAAACAAAAACCCCCAACTTTGTGCCAATCTGTACCCCCCCCCCGTTGTTGTTGGTTTTGGTGGTACTGGAGAGTGAACCTAGGGGCACTTTATCACTGTGCTATATCCCCAATTCTTTTAGAAATTTATTTTGAGATAAGGTCTTGTTAAGTTGTTGAGGCTGGCCTTGAACTTGAGGTTCTTCTGCCCCAGCCTCTCAAGTTACTGGAGTTACTGGGATTATAGGTATCTTCCAAAAGTTTGAAATTTCCTTTTTCTTCTCCAGTTTTTCCTGTAGTCCAAAAAAAAAAAAAAAAAGAGTATCTATCTTATTCTTGGCATTTTCATACAGTAACAAAGCAGTTTTTCAATTGTTTTGTTCAGTAAAACTTGATGGAAATGTTCTGTATCTGCTATTAGATGTGGTGACCACTAGTCATATGTGTTCCTTGAGTACCTAAAATGTGGCCAGTGTGACTAAAGAATTGTATTTTAAATTTTACTTAATTTTAATTATGTAAAGTTCATGCAGCCACATTTGTCTGTGATACAGATGTAAAGTAACTTCCTATGCTTACTATTTGTATTTTTTATTTTTTACCAGTAAACTTGTGTGTTAAGATCACTTGTCTCCCTTCCCACCTTCACTCCCTATCCTGGTCTTTTTCCCACTAATTTCTTTGTTTGTTTCTTTTTTCTTTTCTTTTTTTTTTAGTACTGAGGATTGCACTTCGGGTCCACGTCCCCAGTCCTTTTTATTTTTTATTTTGAGACAGGGTCTTGCTAAGTTGCTCAGGGCCTTGCTAAAAAGTCTTTGTGAATAAAAGTAACTAGCCTTTTGTCATGTGTATTGCAGATTGATTTCCTTGTTTTGCCTTTTGCCTTTATTTATGGAATTGTGTTTTTCTTTTGCTGCCCCTACATTTTTTGTTTGTTTGCTTTTTTAGTACTGGGAATCAAACCTATGGACGCTTTACCACTGAATTATGTCCCAACCCTTTTTATTTTTGGGTACCAGAGATTGAACTCAGGGGCACTCAACCACTGAGCCACATCCTCAGCCCTATTTTGTATTTTATTCAAGAGACAGGGTCTCACTGAGTTGCTTAGTGTTTCTGTTGCTGAGGCTTGCTTTGAACTCGTGATCTTCCTGCCTCAGCCTCCTGAGCTGCTGGGATTACAGGTGTGCTCCACCAAGCCTGGCCAGCCCTTCTTATTTTAAGACAGGTTCTCACTAAATTGTTTAGTTACCTCATTAATTTGCTGAGGCTGACCTTGAATTTATTATTATCCTGGCTTAACCTCCTGAGTTAGGCTGGCACCATGGTATCTGGCTTGCCCAAGCATTTTTAATGTTAATATAAACAAATTGATCAATATTTACCTTTTATTCTTTTTTAATTTTAGGTCCTGTTAAGAAAGGTTTCTCCCACTCAAAGTTCTAACCTAAGTGGATTTTGGGAAATGTCCATGATAATTCTTCTGACTGCCTGACAGTACTGAAATTGATTTGTGTTGAATTCACATGAACTTGGTCTTGGGCATCAGAGGGTACTGTATGACTTTTTCTTTCTTTTTGTGTACTGCTGGGGATTGAATCCAGTGGTGCACTACTACTGAGCTGTATCCACAGCCCATTTTATCTTATTTATTTATTTAATTATTTAAAAAATACTTTTAGTTGTATGAGGACATAATACCTTTATTTTTATGTGATGCTGAAGATAGAACCCAGTGTCTCACATGTGCTAGACAAGCACTTCTACCACCGAGTCACAACCCCAGCCGCTTTATTTATATTTATTTATTTAAAATATTTTTTTAGTTGACAATGGGCCTTTTATCCTTATTTATTTATATTTGGTGCTGAGAATCAAACCCAGTGCCTTACGCATGCTAGGCAAGTGCTCTGCCACTGAGCTATAA